CCAGCCGGCAACTAAGCACCACACAGCCTCTTGCTCACTCCTCCCTCCCCTAGTGGGACCGGGGAGAGAATTGGAAAAAAAACTCGTGGGTTGGAAAACAGTTTGATAGGACAGCAAGAGAGAAGGAAACAACAATGATAACAACAATAATAATACCAACAAAGGAATGTACAAGAACAAGTGATGCCCAATACAGCAATTGCTCACCACCCGGTGATCAATAGCCCGTCCCCGGGCAGCGATTTCCGCCCCCCCGGCCAACTCCAGTTTATGTACTGGGCATGATGTCGTATGGTAGGGAATATCTCTTTTGTCAGCCTGGTCAGCTGTCCTGGCTGTATCCCCTCCCAGCTTCCCATGCACCCCCAGCCTTCTTGCTAGCAGGCCAGCACGAGAAGCTGGACTGTCCTTGACTACTTAGCAACAGCTCAAAACATCAGCACGTTATCAACAGTTTCTCATTCCAAATCCAAAACATAGTCTCACACTAGCTTCTGTGAAGAAAACCAGCTCTATCCTGGCTGACACTAGGACAAGGAAGCAGGAACTGTACCCTTGTGGTGGGTCTGGGGATAGAGTATAAGATTGGTGGAACTGTCTTTCATTACTTCCATGCTGTAGTAGTGGTGTTTCTGCTGCTCTTTTAATGGTGAAGTGGGCTTGGCTCCACAAAATATTTGCAAACAGTTTAATTTGGGATTTTGCCAGGGTTTTCCCAGTGTAATGTGAGTGGGAGACAGCACATGGTGACTTTCCAATTTGTAATTTGGACAAAGCTGAATGGAAATTCATAGCAAAACCAAACATACTTCTAACATACAAGCTTTTTTTACCTACTAAATTTGAAAGCTTTTGCAAGCAATGATTGTGTGAGAGCTTCTTCAAGTAGATATGAGACTATGTGATGCCAGGTTTTGACTGATCTCAATTAGGGTGCCCGTCTTTTTGATCCTGAGAGTCAGGTGCTAGTTTGGAGGTACCAGTCTGGTCCCAGCCTCTCTGTACTGGAGCAGCAAACCTATCTTTGGAGATGAGTCAGTGATGCAGGTAGGTCAGCCAACAGTCCTGTGAGCTTCTGGCGGCTGCTGCTCTCATCACCAATAGGGCTGTGGGGCAGCAAACTGGTGAGGCACCATCTCTCACTGCTTCTGCTGTGATACTGGCTCCACTGCAGCACATTCAGCTGTCCCTGTGGCATTAGCAGGTGAGGGCAGCAGCAGACTGTGTCAAGAAAGCACTAGGTCTGTGCTGTCTGGTCCCTGGAGCTGGGTGGAAGCAGCCTGTGGGTCAGGACTTGTAAAGTCCTTCCTATGTTTCAGTAGTACTCAGCTATCTTAATAGATGGAAATTTTAAATGGGTATCTGTTTTAAAAGTAGAGTAGATAAAGGTACCTCAACAGATTATGTCCTCAGTGGGGTCCAGATTTCTTTTCCTGGAGTTCCTAACATCATCTCTAAGTGATAGGATATCCCTCTTTCTGCTGGCTTTGTTTCTGCTTCAGATTCTACCTTTCAATGACTGTAACTTTTGTATCTTTCGTTTTTTGAGGGCTCTCAAATCATCCTTATCAAGTTGTCAGCAACTTAGTCTTTATTTTCTTTAAGATACTAAGATTGCCCTGCATGATAGTCTTTTTCTGGGTTTTTGCTTTGCTTGAACAGTTGCCACCTTACAACAGTTGGTATAACAACTCCTTTCCTTCGCTGTAGATTTTAATCTTAATATGAAGGCAAAAAAAGGCATACATCTAGAGTAGTTTGCAGTTTCACTTCAGAACTGCACTATGGATCAGAAATGCTAAGGTGTAGATAGATGGATTAGAGACTAAGGGGATTTAGGTATTTTGTAATCAAAAGATAGCACAGCTAACAAATTATTGTGATGCTAAGAGGCTGGGTCGATATTTTCTTCAGAAAGTTACTGGCACAACTCCTTATTTGAGCTAGTTTTCTATCGTTGAAATGCAAATAAATCCCAACAGTTTACCTTTGTGAGATGCTGTATGCTGCCAGTTTATGCACATGGTATTTATATGCCATATAAATATAATATAAAATATGGTATTTAATTCAAAAAATATTTGAGAGAGGACATACAGAAATTATTATTATGGAACAAATGGCCCCAATTTTCATAGTTGTACATAATAATCTAACATTTTACTAGTTAGGTCTCGTCATAATGTTTGAGTTTTTCCTGTAACTAAATTGCATGCTCTTCTCCCCCTCCCCCACCCCCAACTTGTGGAATGTTGATCACTAAATTAAGACTCCATTATATGGATTTTACTGTTCAATGTGTAAACCATGTTCTTTCCAATTTGTAGATTCTTGTGGACACTGTTTGGGCTTTGTCCTACTTAACAGATGGTGGAAATGAACAGATACAAATGGTGATTGATTCAGGAGTTGTACCTTTTCTAGTTCCCCTTCTGAGTCATCAGGAGGTTAAAGTTCAAGTAAGTCTGGTTCAGTTGCTATTGAATAGTCCTTTGTAATCTGTTTTCTAAAAAATGTCCCTTAGAGTATTTATTAGTGGAGTACTGAGATGAGCGTTTATAGCTACATTTGTTGCAGGTAAAACTGAACAAAATGTTACCTACACTGAGGGGAAAAGAATATTAAAATGAAAGAAAATTTAAACAAAACAGTTCTAATATAGTTTTAAGTAAAGTAACAGGTTAAACATTAGATTCCGTTGTGTGATTACCAGGGGTGCCTTCTTTTTTAAGTCCTAAAATATTTAGTGACAGCTCTTTTCTGTTGCTGCATACATGGTTGTACTATTCTGTCTGAATAGGTCACAGAAATCCATTAATATTTTGGGGCCTTTTGAATGTTAAATTATTTGCAGATGCTGAATCCTTAAAAGGACTAAAGTAGAGTAGATTTCTAATTGGCTACAAAAGGTAGGTTAACTGAACTTGTTTAATTTCAAAGACAGAGGGAAACTGAAAGTTAGTTAATGTGTGCTTGATTTTTATAAACCAGCCTTTGGGAGCTTTTTTACGTATCTGTGCATTGGTCATGTTTGTTTAGTTTGTACTTCAGATGAGACTTGGCTGTCTTGAAATTTGTCAGACCAGTTTACTTGATAAGAAGTCTCTCCAGTATTCTGTTGCTTGTAGAGCATTTAATAACCAACACACAAAGATATAAAGTCCACTTCTGAAAGCTGACAGAGTCACTAAGACGAAAAGTAGTTGTGGGTTTTTTAATTAGTTAGTGGAGAACTGAATGGAGAAGTAAACAACCTGGGCAGACATAATGAAAGCCTAGAAACAGTTAACGTAATTGTAATGCAGATCAGATACATGATGAATTAACTCTTCTATTGTTTTAGTATTCTTTTAATTTCTAATCTTTACGCTTTTTGAGTTGAGCTGCAGTGTGTCTACTCAGTAAAGTGCTGTACTGTGTGTTTCTGTTTTGATGAAACAGTATCCATTTTTAGGATGTAGCTCAGAGGACAAAGTGCAAAACTGTATTTTGCAAAGTGTTTTTATAAAGAGATGTCTTAAAATTATCTTTGTTTTAGCATAAGTAACAGCAATGTCTTTAACATGAAATTTTTTTTTTTCCTTCCCACTTCGGGTTTTCAGACAGCAGCACTGAGAGCAGTAGGCAACATAGTAACTGGTACTGATGAACAGACACAAGTTGTTCTCAACTGTGATGTTTTGTCTTATTTCCCAAATCTCCTGACACATCCAAAAGAGAAGATAAATAAGGTATGATTTGTTTCTTCCCAACTTCATGTTTTTGTTTAAGAAATAAAACAGTAGTCTGTAGCATATTGCAGAAGAATTTCTTACAGCTATTATTTCCAGCATGTGAGCAATTTTGTATAAACATCACACAGAATCACAGAATCATTAAGGTTGGAAAAGACCTTCAAGATCATCAAATTCAATCATCAACCCAACACCACCATGCCCACTAAACCATGTCCTGAAGTGCACGTCCACATGTTTTTTGAACACTTCCAGTGATGGCGACTCCACCACCTCCCTGGGCAGCCTGTTCCAATGCTTGACCACTCTGTCCGTAAAGAAATTTTTCCTAATATCCAATCTAAACCTCCCCTGGCGCAACTTGAGGCCATTTCCTCTCATCCTATCGCTAGTTACTTGGGAGAAGAGACCAACACCCTCGTCGCCACAACCCCCTTTCAGGTAGTTGTAGAGAGCGATAAGGTCTCCCCTCAGCCTCCTCTTCTCCAGGCTGAACAACCCCAGTTCCCTCAGCCGTTCCTCATAAGACTTGTTCTCCAGCCCCCTCACCGGCTTGGTTGCCCTTCTTTGGACATGCTTGAGCACCTCAACAGCCTTCTTATAGTGAGGGGCAGCATTTGAGGCTGGTGCTTAATTAGGGCTAAAGCTAAACAGGCATAATGAGGATACATGCATTGCTGTTGATGCGTAGTGCTTTTTGGGAGGACTGATGGTTTTTGCTTTGGAGTGTGATACTTTTTTTCATTTGCAAAGTGAGTAACCGGCTGACTTGCAGTATAGTTTTTCTTAATTAAGGAATATTACTTGTAGTTCAGTCCAGTGGGTTGAGTAAGATTGATCCAGTTTTTACACTCCACCTTTTCATAGTGGTGTTTGTTCCCTTGTCAATTGTCACCTTCAAGGAAGTAGGGAGTACCACTGTCCTCTGAAAACTGTGCCTGCATTTCTTCTGCTTTCTTTTGGCAGAGATAACTTTGCTGCTGCAAGGACTGGGAGGAATAGAGGGAGTTAGATGAATGTGATCAGTGCTCTCATTTCCACAGCTGTATTTCATACTATCTGTGGGGTTTTTTAATCATTGTGTCATCGTCCACTGCAAAGATGGGGCTGGCTGAGGAGTTTTGTTGGCTTTTTTTGTTGGCTTTTTTGTTTAGCTGATGTGATTCCCCCATATAGTGTACCATTGAGGGGAAAATTATTTATGAGGAATCTCTGCTTCTTCAGGCCCTGTCAATGGCCAACAGGTCTGAAGAAGTTATCTTTGACAGTTCAAACTGCTGTGATTTGTTTCTGCCTGCCCTTCTAACTCTCAGAAAAGAGAATGATGAAGAGCTCCTTTTGAACACCAAGAAAGGAATTATTTTTGTATAAGGGGAATCTATAAATGTTTTGACTTTTTTTAAGTGTATGTTGCGAGGGGGAAATACAAATAAAAGCCAGATGTACATCCCCCAAAAATTGAACCCATTATGCTTTTTTTTTGAAGTACTTTATAATTGGCTGCTTGCCACATCTGTTTGGTTTTTATTTAAGATTGGAGCCTTTTTAAGATGTTTGGGATTGCCTTGACAAGTTACCCCCCTTTGTAACCAGGAATTTGTAACTGCCAGTAGGTAGGTGTTAGCTATGATGATGAACCGCCTGAAGGAGATAACTGCTGAGTAAGGTCTCAGGGAGTCCTGTCTGATACTTAGTGGGAGGCCTTGATTGAGCTTTCTGAGCTTCACTTCATGTTTCAGGACAAAAACAGGAGCTGGAATTGGTCTTCCTTGTATCAGCACAGAAAGCTACTACTGAGCTGCTAAAGTCAAATATTACAGAATAAGTCCCTTTTTATATGAATTTTCCTGTTTTCTTTGCAAAACTGATCTCCAGTTTAAAACATGGCTGTTGACTCCGGCAGTGCAAAGGGGATATAAGGTTTAAATCAGTATTGCTCACAGTATATGGAGACACTCCTTGTGTAAGTAATAATCTGGCCCTGTGAATTAATCACATCAATTTTACATTGATCCTCCGTGTGTTTGGCTTTCGCAGTGCAATGAAAGTTTGTGTGCTAAAAGTGCTACTGGGGAGGAAACCTGGAGGGTCTGTTTTAGTGATTGGTCATGGTATGATTTTAGGGTTTGAGGTTGTTTTGTTTGATTGTGGTTTTTTTTTTTGTCTGACTATTTTTTAAAAAAATCTTTTGCTTTTTTATTTTGTCCAACTGTAGGAAGCAGTTTGGTTCCTTTCCAATATCACAGCAGGAAACCAGCAACAAGTTCAAGCTGTAATAGATGCTGGGCTAATCCCTATGATCATACACCAGCTGGCTAAGGTCAGTCAAGCTATCAGCTATGCAAGTTGTCATCCTCTTTTTATAAATCTGACACGAGGAGCCTGTGATTTTTAATAATAAGTTTGACAGATGTTTCCATGCTGATTTTAATGAACTATTAATTTTATTTTTCAGGGGGACTTTGGAACACAAAAGGAAGCTGCTTGGGCAATTAGCAATTTGACAATAAGTGGGAGAAAAGATCAGGTATGTGTAGTGGGATTTCAAATTGTCACTAAAACATTGCACATGCAGCCATTTGTAAGAAGCACAATGTTGAAAGCACTTTTTTCATTATTTAGGTTGAATACCTTGTACAGCAAAATGTAATCCCACCGTTCTGCAATCTACTCTCAGTAAAGGATTCTCAAGTGGTACAGGTGGTGCTGGATGGTCTGAAAAACATCCTGATAATGGCTGGTGATGAGGCTAGCACAATAGCTGAAATTATAGAAGAGTGTGGAGGTAAGTGCTTATTAGGTTTTTAAAAAATTGAATTTGCTGGATATTATTCCGTCTTCCCTTTGCTGCTGTTGATATTTACTACAGCATTTTTTTTAGCGTGGGTTATTTGAATAAGCAAGCGAGTCTTCTGTAATGAGAGAAATGACTTTTTTTTTGTCTGTCTAGTTAGTTTTAGGGATTGTCATGTTGGAGGCAATCATTGAAGGAGCTTTCTGTAGCCTAGGTATTTTTTAGGTTTAAATCAGAATGGTGGTACTTTTCCTTTGATTATTGCATACACTTCATTCTGTGGTAAAACACACAGTTTAGCTTTTTGCATTGGAAGCAGTTGTTAGGATCATAATTTCGTGACGGACCAAAGCAGGATGAGGAGTCAGGCCTCTGGATATTGCAATCCAAGTTTTAGCACATGCTAATTAGTGTATTACGGTAAGATAGCAGTAAAAGGATGTTTAAGTTCTTAGTTAGTACTTAAGTACTTAGTATAGTGGAAGTCTTTCCCTTGTATTATACCATATCCAGTTTGAAAATGGAACTAGCGTTTTAAGCTGCTCTTGGTGTGAGACTTTGTCATCATGTTGTTTTAAACTAGTTTGCAACGCACCAATGAAGCCACTTCCTTTTGGTGATACACAAAAAGCACAAATGACTGGAACAAAAGCTATGTAGCAGCTTATGTATGTAGTACATACTGTGTATGTAGTTTTGTCTAAAAAGAGGGAAGGTTCTATTATTCCTTCTTCATAAAATGTGATATTCCATGGCATGCAAAGGTTTACAAACTACTTTTTTTTTTTTCCATCTTATATACAAAGATAGCTAGTGTGTTAGACAAAATTTGCCAACTGAGCTACATCTTTTCTAGTATGTTTCAATAGTAATGTTTTGTTATTTTTCTTAGTTTAGTTTTTTCAAAATAGTCAGTAATTCACTTCAGTTTAAACTTAGAAAACTCTTCTCCATTTTCTTTTATCCAGGGTTAGAGAAAATTGAAGCCTTGCAACAGCATGAGAATGAAGACATTTATAAACTAGCATTTGAAATCATAGATCAGTATTTCTCTGGTGATGATGTAAGTATGCTAAAGATTGAAGAGTGTATGCCCTATGCTGTTAGCTTAGTAAGTACATTGTCATTGTTCCTCAGTTCCAATTGTCATGAACACAGGTTACATAGGAAGTCAGTTTTCCTGCTCATTTTTCAGCACAGCTTCCCTTAATTGAAAGTCTTTGAAAAGTTTCTCAATACCAAGAATTTTCTTTAGCAACGTAGATGACTACTGTAGTTTTGCCTAATAAATTGGTTGATACAGACCTAATTTTGTCACACTGACATGTAAATTGACATGTAATTACTTGTGATTAGAATCTAAACAGTTCTCTGGCTCTCCTTTTTGCTTTCTCATACATCAGTCTTTGGAGTGGGGGTGGACCCTTACCTCTGTAGGTGCTCAGTTTGGATTCTGCATTGAAGAGAGTCATCAAAACTGTAACACTTTCTGCAACTGATTGATCTAGACCATCTGCTATTTTGTTGCACCCTCATTAGGTATTTTGACCCTTTGGCTTCTAGCTCTTTCTGCTGCTGGCTTTTTGCGAGTGCCTCAGAAGCACTTCAACAAGCAATTTGAAGACAACTAATAATTACCTTTTCTAGGCCAGCCAGGGTGTCTGTAGTTCTGCAGTCTAGCAGAACTATGTCTTCAGTTCTTCTTTTAAATTGAACTCTCCAGAGACCAGCTCTAACTTTAAGACTCGTTAATTTTCAATTCATGGGTCCATCATGTGATTGCGAAGTTAGTAACCAGAAGTTAAGATCTGTGAAAAGTTGCCTATGCTTGTAATGGTTCTGTGAGTCTCCATAATGACTCTGAGACTTCTATAGCTAAGTGAAGAGCACAGTCTATTTGGTGCAGGTGGAAAAATACCCCTTTTGAGGTTAGTACTCCCTTCTATGCATTTACTTTTTACATAATCTAATGCACTTTAATCTATGCCTGATTTGCTGAATTTACCTCCTTTACTCAGGAGCAAAACTTTACTTCAGATTATTGTTTATACTGCTACGGTGTTTTCTGGGGTTTTTGAAACTCAAAACTGTAGAAATTCCATGATGGGGAGATAGCAGTTAAAACGTAAAACGAGACAAATTTTCAGGCAGTAACTATTAACTAGGAAAATAA